AAACGGTTAAGTGTGGGGGAGTTTGATAGACCGTTAGTTACACATGTTTTCACCCCTGTTCTTACACCGTTTGAGAGGTGGTTTCTCGTGTTTTAGACCGATTTCACGCTAGGTTGTGCTTGTTTGTGATATTTCAGGTCCTGGCAAGTGAATGAGGGTGTAGGAGCGAGTTCGGGGTCGATTGGGTGAAGATCGGGCGCGAGACAAGTCACAAAGGAGGTCACACGGCCTGCCCTGATATTCACACGGCCGTGTGAAGTAATGGCCTGGCCGTGCGAGTTTTGCCGAGAGCACACACGGGCAGAGCAGAGGATCGACACGGCCGTGCAAGTGGCCGGGTTGGCCGTGCCACATACTGCGAGAGCAAACACGGGCAAGAGGGGATGTCCACACGTGCGTGCCATTCTGGCCGTGCAAAGAGCCTGGAATTCGAACTAAATGAAACGATGCGTTTTGACTCACACGGGCAACTGGGTGAGCTGCACGGCCGTGCCACCCTGGCCGTGTGAGTCGGGATTTTCTCCTTTTAAGCAGAATTTCATCCACAATTCGAGGGGATTCGGGTTTTTGGAGAAAGAGAGCGATTTCTAGAGAGAGAAAGCGACGAACAAGAGTCTCCAAGTGCCCTAGATTGATCTTCAACACCATTGGAGGCCAGTTGGAGCTTGGAGAAGTGCCAATCAACGTCCAGAAGCAGGAATCCATCCTTTGCAGTATGAATTCCGTGTCTGATTCTGCTTTTGCTTTCTTCTCTATGGAGTAGTTCTCCCATTCATCTGGGTATGGAGAACCCTAGATTTGTATGTTAGGCTTTGATTGTATGAACCCAAGTACTGATTCTGTGATTGATTATATTCGATTGAGGTTTTAATGATTGAATGACTTGAATCCTGATCAAATTCCTGTTGTTTCTGCTTTAACCTAGAATGAGAATATCTGCCTAGGTTAATAGAGTATCCTTGATTGAAGGTAGGGAGTTGGTGACTTTAGTCGAGGAGCCAACTCACTATTCTGTACCGGATTTACTCCGGTAGTGGAGGTTTTGTTCTTAGGGCCTCAATCTGTCGACTCCGGTGGAGGTTAGTCGCCCGCTAGAGAGTCAGATTGAGAGGGTCTGAAGACCTTTAGTCGAGACTTCAGGCTGTTTAAGAACCTTCCGCAGTATAACTGTCATAGAAACTGAACTTGGTAATTACAATCCGGCTTAACTGCAGTCTAGGGGGAACCATATCCGGGTGACCTCTTTAACCTGAATACAACCAGTTTACTTGCTTTGTTAGTTTGTTAGTTAGACTTGCATTCCAGTTTCATTGCTAGATAACAAGAATTCACTGAGTAGTCATCAGATCTAGGACCCGGGTTGACATATAAACCTAAACCCGCTATACTACGCTTTAGGGAGTGGTTGCACTTGGCCAATTCCTAGGGTGACAGTAGAGTCGAGTCACTTGGCATCGTATCTTTTTTTCCTTACAGCTTTCCAAAGTGCAGATAGCAGAGATTGTCTTCCTCACTTGCCGAATATGGAAAGGCCGGTGCTGGTCCATCCATGATCACGTCCAGTTTTTGCCACCAGCATTGCTTCGCAAATTCCACACTTAGCTGAATGAGTGGCAGGACGCCTCCAGTGGACGCCAACCTAACCAGTCTACGAGAAGGCAACAAAGTGGACAACCCTCTGCGCTTTCCAGTCCACCGGGGGGGGGGGGGCTCTTGATTAGATTTGATGGGGCTTTTCGAAAAGACATTGGCGGAAGCTCAGGTTTCATGGGTGTTGCGGAGGATTCAATCCTTGTCTGTGCGTATGGTAAGTTCTACACAGGTTTGAATGATCCCTTCCTCTCCGAGTTACTTGCATTGCGCGATTCGATGCTATGGTGCCTACATCATGGGTATTATAATGTTTGTTTTTGTGGTGATTCGCAATTGGTTATTCGGCGAGTGTCTGAGAATGAAGTGCAGCATGAGACTGGTGGAGAAATCCTGGAGGAAGTTCGTCTGCTCAAATCCAGCCAGTTTGTTTTTGCTTCCCGTAGGACTAACAGGGCTACCCATTTAGTGGCAAAAATGGCCCTTGCATCGCTAGCTCGACATTTGGTCGACTACCGCTATTTACTTTTCAATTCTCTGTTGTCAACTTTCTATCTATGGCAAAAAAAAAAAAAAATCTGCAGAAAACTGGAAATTCCCTTACCTCACATACCAACTTCCAGACCTTGTTTCTCCCTCGTCTGAGCTCGGAATTCAATTCCGTAGACTCTGTGATGCTCGTGGAGACTTTTTCTTCGCAAAGGTATCAAGCTTAAAATCTGATACTAACTTTAGATGTGCTGGTTTGGCTGATGAAAAGGTTACGACAAAAGTTTCAGCAAAGGAACTTCAGTGAGTTGGTTTGACGATTTGGGCTTTGTAATCAGGTTTGTATGGGTTCTTGACCTTTGCTGCGATTACAGAAAGTATTCTAGGACTTGTTATATGTTCCCTCTTTCCTTTCACTTCTAATTCACATATATAGGGGAGGTTTTCTCCAAGGGTGGGTTTGAGGAAAGAAGAAGATGAAGGGAGGTCACCAAGCCTTTAAAGGTTGTTCAAACTCATCCTCCCCCCTCTTTACTCTTTGTAGGTGCCTTGAAGGCTCTTAGAAGGCCGCCTTCATGTTTCATTATTGTGGTGATCCCCTTCCAAGTTCCCACAGTATGCACCGCTAAATAAACTGTGTTGCTGCCAGGACACGTGGTCAATAAAGGTTACAATCGAGCAGAGTGTTTTCATTAACACTAATTACAATTGGCGCAACTGGTTAAGTTGATAGCTCCTTCCTTAGTGACTAGAAGGTTAGTGGTCCGATTCCAGCAACATAGTAATTTATTTTTGCTTCAATTTTTAATGGTTTGGGAGTTTTCGAGTGGTTTCACTAATCCTATCTCGCATAAGATAACTTCTAGATTTTTTTCCCAGCATCGAATCATAAAATATACGTCATCTACTTGAAACAAAAATTTATCCGATTTCGGGATGTTACAGTTGAATATCAAGTTGCTTCGCGTTTGTAGTTCGGAAGGACTATGAAAGAAACAAGAACTAGAAGCAACGATGAACAAGCTAGCCATATTGTTTTGTGGTCCATGTGTATATATGGAATGCATGGAGTATGGTGGTGTAACTTGTAAGAACAAAGGATGTATACTTTGAAAGTCTTTGAGTTTTGAATTCAATGGTAAATTACTAAATTAGCTCTTTATTCAAGGAAGACATCAAATCACACTACTTTAAGCTCGCAAATTACAACCTTAAACACACATACAAAATATTATCTATTGTCTTGATATTACAATACCTTTTTAATAAAAATAGAAGATGTATTATATCAAAATCCTATAATTTAAAAAATACACACATACAGAGGCGGTTGAATGTTTAAATTCCTGGAAAGATTCTGCATAAATTTTTCTAGAAAAACTCGTTCATGTAGCGAAAGTAAGTGCACAACAAAACAATTTTATTGTTGTCATATATTCGTATTTGGTTGATCCGGCGTTTTAAATTTTGATGATCATTTTGTTATCAGATCGAAGTTAAGTGATCATTTTAGTCAAATACTAAATTGAGGGCATGCTTTACCGACATCATTTAGACTTTAGCACTTTACAACTCAATTTTTTTATGGAAGTTTACAACTCAATTTGTTAAGCCAAAAAGGAAAAGAGAAAAGTGTGGGGGCTGGAGTGGCAAAATGAAAAATGCCAAAAGTCTATATCAAGCACAGTTTTTTTCCTCTTATTATCCCTTTCTTTTATGAGGCAAGGTCCACAAATGCAGACCATTATATTGATTATGTAATTAGACTTTGCAATTCTAAACTATTTCTTTCTACCTAAATTTCTTAAATGCACATATTCTATCAGACTTGCTGCACAGGTAAACTTCCAACATTTGCACTATCAGAGCTGGGAGGTGATGGTGCAGGAGCTGAGTGCAGGGATTTGCAGAGATTCTCGAGATGGGTATTGGCATGCTTTGATATGGTGCTTTGTCGTTGCTTTCATTAGGAAGGAAAGATGTAAAGTGGTACATGGCTCACCCAGGCAAGATCCAGAGAGGGTTGCTGATCTACTTAGGGATGATTTGCAGTTCATAGCATGTGGCAACAGGGGACTAAGAGATGCACTTAATAGGCTTCAGTACTTATAGTTTTGTTCACAGGTTTTTCTGTAAGTAGTTCTATATAGAGGATAGTTGAGAAACAATCACAAAAGGGGGGTTCTTTCCCCACCACGTTGTATTGGACTTTCTTGGGAATAAAGGAACCGATTCAACGAAAAATAAAAAAAACAAATAATTTGTTTCATAACAGAAATATACTTATTCAATCATTAAAGCAAAATAAAGAAAGCAACGGTTTTCCAAAAAAAAAGTTACCATATTTTATGCATCTCCTTCGCCAAATCTTCAATTATCGTTATTCTTTTATAAATATTTGCGTTTCTCAGAAAAAAACACAAAATACTATTGAACAATGTGTTGGCAAAATTGAATCAGTGCGTGAGATGATAATAAATTAATAATTCATCTTATTTGGTTCAAAATTTGAACCAACAATCATCTAATAAATTATAATGTGCCAACGAGCACAAGTCAATAAATTTAAAGTGTCGAAAAAGAAAAATGGTAGCTACGAACCTATACATTTTTCAAGAATTAGAAAAATGACCTAGTGTAATTCAATTTTTTTTTTAATAAGATGAGCATTTGTGATGTAGGGATGATTACATATTAGTGAGCATCCTCATGAATACAATTGCAAAAGCAATTGCATTTCTGCCTTTTATTGTTAATTCATTTTTTTTACAAATTCACTTCAAATCACTTTCATTACCTATATCAATGCAATTAACTTGCAATCGCATATGTAATTAAATGTTATGTTTAAATTATAAAAATAAAGTAAAATAGAAAAGAAAATAATATAAATAAAAATTCTCCATTTTTAGGCCTTTTTCACTTGCATATGCAATTTCATTTATTGCAAGCTTGCAAATATACAATTGTTAGCCCAATCAATTCAATTGATTTTGCAATTGCAAACACCCATAACATGTCATCTTGCAATTGAGGGGGGTTGGTTAGCTTGCTAACCCCTGTAAGGGGTTGGAAAAATGACACCCCTATTAATATAGTTTTTTTTATTAAATTCGTGTTGCATTTAATAATATCTGAGAACTAAAAACTCATATTAATTACATTCATTTTTTCGAACTACCATTGCACCGGTACACTGATATCATTATACTGAATACTGATACAACTATCACTGTAGTGAAAAATGGAAAATAATTAATATAGACTTTTAATTCAGACAGATTATTAAATGCAATAGTTGTATCAGTGCAATGGTAGTTTGAAAAAAGGAATGTAATTAATATGTATTTTTAATTTTCAAAGATTATTAAATGCAACACAAATTTAATACCATAATTAACTATAATTAATAGGTGTGTGATTTTTCCAACCCCATAGAGGGATTAGCAAGCTAACCGATCCCATGTGTATGCTTTTTTTTTTTATTAAAAGGAGCAAATGCCAATTACATCAAGGGAAGCAGTAAGAACATACGGCTACACTGGCAGCTATAACGCAGACAAAAAACATGGGCACCATATTCATCAAATGGAAAATCCAGAACAGCCAAATGTCTAGGGGTCATCTTGAATCACTTGTCGCCGGAAGCTTACTCCCAGTTGATCAACCTGCAGAATCCTTTCTAGCTCTGTGGGAAGTTCGTCTAGCTCAAACATGCCAAAGGGATAGAGGAGACTGTACTTCGAGAGCCAGTCCGCGACTCTATTCCCTTCCCTGTATGTGTGAACTAAACGAACTACCCACTCTTGATCTAGTAGTCGTCGTATCTCCCTTAAAATTGAGGCATGAGGGTGAGCTGGGTCCGTTCTTTTCTTAAAGAGTTCCAAGGCAAGTTGAGAATCTGTTTCAAGCACCAGAAATTTTGCTCCTTTTCTCCTAGCTAGCTGAAGGCCCTGCATAATGCCCCAAAGTTCAGCCATAATGGCTGTACCATACCCAATTTTGGGGGTCGGATACTATGCCTACCCCCAAAGGGGTTGGCTTTTTGACACCCCTTTATGATTGGCCAATTTTATATTTAATCATTGACAAGTATTAATTAAACTTGTTTTTTATTTTTTTCAATCTTGTAATTTTGGTTCTCTCACCCACATTGGAAAGGGAAAGAACTTGGGGCAACGAGAAAAAAACACCCCCCCAAATGTGCAATTAATTTCCATTTTTGTCTTTCTTTCGTCTCCTTCTCTCTCCATTTGGACCCCCTTTCCATTTTGATTTCATTTTCACCAGAAGCCTCCTGTACTCTGAAATGACCAAAACCTTCCCCCATTTTCATCTTTCTCTTCCTCCCGCCGCCGCCACCACCCCTCTCCGCCCTCTTCATCCATGCCTTCCACTTGTGCCGCCTCCATCCCTACAACCGCCGTACTCCTCCAGCGTCTTCCCCCATCACCATCCTCCTATCTCCAGCCGCCGCCGTCCTGGGATCGCCTCTGACCTATCGAGTGGGTTGCTCGCCATCAGAGGACAAGACGTAAGGTTATCACCGGAGATCAAACATATGAAGGCCACACCGAGAGGGAAGACGGATCCAACATTCCGCGCGACGATTCTGGACATGCCAACAACGGCGACTCTTGTGCGGCATCAAATGATCGGGGTGAAGACGAGATCGGACTCTCATCCCGAACGCAGGAGGGACTGATGGCCACCGAAAATAAACCCGCCAGAGATGAAGAAGAACATGGAAGGCGGCGGGAGGTTGTTACATACCGCTCCTTGTATTGAAGTTCAACTCTACAATGTCTAGGAGACGTCGGCACTACCGGGAACATGTACCACTGATATGGTAAATGTACCACTAATATGGTACATGTACCACTGACCTGATACTAGTACGAGTGCAACTATTCAAGCCATACTTTCAACACCAAAATGTTACAACCCACTTGTAGTGTTAGATATATTGAACTTGTACCATTAGCAAAATTGAAACTCATCCTAAATGTTGTCATTGCAGTGTTCGATAGACTTTGGAGTGGTACCATTAAAATGGTACATGTATCACTGAACTGATATACTAGTGAACTAATACATGTACCACTGAACTGATATATGTACAACCAATATGATACGTAAACAAACAAGCAACTTCCCATTGGAGTGGTACGTGTACCACTGGAGTGGTACGTCTACCAGTAGAGTGGTACGTGTACCAGTGGAGTGATACTGTTTAGGTTTAAAAAAATTGACCCTACTTAAAAAAAATACGTGTACCAGTGGAGTGGTACGTGTACCAGTGGAGTGATACTGTTTAGGCTTAAAAAAGGAAACGCACCAATGGAGTGGTACGTGTACCAGTGGAGTGGTACTGTTTAGGCTTAACCATATGTCCTGTTTAGGCTTAAAAAATTGTGAAGACTTTATGTTTATTCACATTCGAAGGATAATTTATTGCTTTTGGCATTGTTGTTGGCATTTTCCTAATTTTGCAACCCATTTTGGAACACAGTTTTTGGCTACTAATGGAAATTTCCTATTTTGTTGATTGATTGAAATGTTTATTGTGTTGCTTGTGCCAGAATTATATTTCATGATCAAGTATGAGTATTGGTATATTGAGGACAGTCTTAATTAGTACCAGTTCAGTGGTATAAGTACCAGTTAATTGATATGTATACCAGTCTAGTGGTATAATACAAGTTCAGTAGTATATAATTATATATGTACCACTGAAGTAGTATGATTACCGCTAAAGTTGTGCGAAGTCTATTTCTATTCCATTACTCGTCAGCAAAGATATTTCCATGAAATTAAAAGAAGTTAACCAATAATTACGACAAAGAAAAATAATAAAATCAATTCCAAACTTCAAAAGCGGGGTGACCACAATATTTCCATGACGATGTATTTCTTGGTTGACCCCTAGCGTATTGTTCCTTATACTGGCTCTCACGACGCCATTTTTTGTTGGTACCCACACTCGAGGCAGGAGCTTGGTCTATCTCAGCTTTTACCGTTTCCTCTTCGTCATGGCCATTCCTGAGGTCATTGGGTAGGAAGACAATAATCAGAAATATCATTGAAGTGATAGAAATGCGATAAACTAGCCATAAACAACTAGCGATAAGTAAGACAACTCAAAACTGTCATTGGAGTGGTACTTTTACTAGCCATAAAAAACATTATATACCACTTCGGTGATAGACACACCTTCATCTAATTGGAAACAGAACTACCACTGAAAGTGGTACAAATATTAGCCACAATAAACATTTTATAGAAATACGAGTTCGATAAGTAAGACAACTATCACTGTAGTGGTAGAATTACCAATACATCTTTGCACCTGCTGACTCCCTCTGAGCACCTGCAAAAAAGTACCACTACACCGGTAAGACATGTCACTTCACTGGTACAAACACCACGAGAATAAAAAGCTTATCACTGATAACGTTCAACAGAAACTCAGACACTGGTAGAACTACCATTGCAGCGGTAACATTACACTGGTATTAATACCAGTACACTGGTACTAATACCACATGAAAAAATCCAGACCTAGAAACTCAAAGACACATATATGGGTAATGAAAATACCATTGAACTAGTACTAATACCACACGAAAACCCAGATCTGGGTTTGAGAGAGAGAGAGAGCTACCTCAGATTCTTCGTCGTCGTCGTCGGGAATGGGAGGAGGCCGTCATCTTCGCCGAGAAGGTAATGAGGGTAGTCAGAAGAAAGACCTAAAAAAATATAGAAAGAAGAGTAGAAAGAGGAAAATGTAAGGGGAGTAAAACCCAACACCTACTGTCGATTTCGGGAGGACGGAGACTAGTTCCATGAAATCGTTAGTTCTTCGAAGTCGTGTCGCCGATGGAAGGTGGTTGACGGAAATAGAGCAAAAGGGAAGAGGAAAGGGGTTGGTTGGCAAGTTGATTCTCGATCGGTGGAAGGATCAACCTCCATTGTTGTCGTCGAAGAAGGTCGAAGATGGCCGGCTGCTGGTGATGGAAGGAGGAGGGTTGGTCGTCTGGTGGGAGAGACGAAAGGGGAAATAATCAAAAGGGGAAAGTCAAATCATTTTTTCCCATTCCCCAAATTTCTTCCCCTTTCCAACGTGGGTGACGCCAGCTAATGAAGGATTTAATGCACAAAAAAGGCTGCTCAATCCTCACCCTACATTACCACTAATTTAGATGGACGGTTGTGGATGGGGGTGTCGAAAATCAGTCCCCTCCATGGGGTAGTCAAGCTAACCGATCCCCCAGTTTTGCTAGAGAAATCCTCTTAATCATCATTTTCATCACATAGGCTTCCCGAAATTAATAGGATGATTATCTCATACAGAATTAATGATAATCAAATGTGTGTCCGTTAAGGTTGTCAAACCGGTTTGTGCCAGTGTGTCGGTTTAGCAAGTGGAATGGTTCGACCGGTGGTACATACCGATTTGTGCCGGTTCATGCGGGTTAATATTACAAATAATTTACAAATACTCATATTTAAGCACGACATTTAACGTCAATACATATATATTTGTACTTGAATCCAACAAATAACATCAACATTTAACTTTTTAACACATAAAATAAATAATAAATTACCATGGTGTCCGTTCTTAATTTTGATAAATAAAAACCATAATAATAAATAAAGAGCTGGATATAAACAAAAAGGAAGTCACCCACCAGCGTCAAAGTGCCAGCTCATTCCGCCCTGACGAATCACTTCCCACCTCGCTGGCGCTTTCATTAAATCAACTCGGCCCCACTCCGTCCTAAATCCTAATCTTCACCGGAATATCCTATTTCATTTTCATTTATTTCTTCCCTCATCCCTTTCATTTTCTTCCTTCTTCTTCTCACACTGTCCCCGAAACCTCTCCAATTCTCCCCCAAATCCTCCTCGGAAACCGAGACCGATCCCTCTTCTCCCCGCCCAACAATGTCCAACTCCAAGCAGACCTACAGAGTCTGCTTCTGCTTCCGCCGTCGGTTCAGGCTCGCCGTCGCCGAGGCCCCGGACGAGATTCGGGGCTTCTTCAACCGCTACTCCGAGAATGGGCTCATGTCGGCCGATCACCTCCGCCGCTTCCTGGTCGAGGTCCAGAAGCAGGAGAATGCCACCCTCGAGGACGCCCAAGCTGCTATCAACAGTCTCCAGGAGCTCAAGCATTTGAACATCTTGCATCACCACAGGGGCCAGAGTCTCAACCTCGAGACCTTCTTCAAGTATCTCTTCGGCGACATTAACCCCCCAATCGACCTCAAACGCGGGGTCAGGATTTAGATGATTTTGAACTTTTTGCCCCTTCCTTTGAACACACTGTTACTTACTTCACTTGCTGTGCTTTCCGATTTTGTTCTTTGTTTCTCTGTGAGGGTTTCTGTCGGTTGAGATTTGATGCAATTATAGATTTGAATTTTGTCTCGTTCTGAGTAGTTGCTAGCACACTACCTAGCAAGCATTCGCTTGCCTGAGTTTCCTTTTTGGCTTAAAAGGTTTTGATTGGGTTTCTGTTCTAAGATAAGATACATTTTCTGTGACTAGTCCAATCCAATTGTCAGGCAGTTCTTTATTCCCCAGTGAGGTTGCTAACGGATGCTTGATTTGGTCGATTGAAGTTGCCTCTTTTGGCTGAATTCTGCGGTGGCTTGGTTTACATAGCTTTGCTTGTGTTAACTGTACTGAAATTCTTCTATAAAAATTGCCCATTCTCTGTTCTGCAGGTGCAGCAGGATATGACTGCTCCTCTTTCGCATTATTTCATTTACACGGGGCACAACTCGTATCTTACTGGGAACCAACTTAGTAGTGACTGTAGCGACGTTCCCATCATACAGGCACTGCAGAGAGGTGTGAGGGTGATTGAACTGGATATATGGCCCAATTCCAACAAGGATGGCATTGAAGTTCTTCATGGAAGGTACTCTAGTAGTTCTGTGCTCTACCTCCTGAGATGGATGGCAAGATATACATGACTACTCTCTGAAATAGGGAAGTAATGAAAAGATGCATAAATCTTTTGAACCAACTTCTAGAATTTGTATTGTTCTCTATCTTGTTGATAGCTCTTTGGACTTCAGTCGTCTACTTTAAGCCAGGAAAGCTATTATTTGTAGTTGTTATGTAAGATGAATTTCTCTCTGAAGAGTTACTTTTGAATAGCATCAATATATTTTCCTGTTAGAATAATTAGATAGTCTTGAACTTGCTTGTAATCATTGTGATTGTTTCTTTCATTCCGCGTAGGACACTGACAACCCCTGTGGAACTTATCAAATGCTTGCGGTCTATCAAAGAGCATGCCTTCACTGCATCTGACTATCCTGTAGTTATAACTCTGGAAGACCACCTCACTCCAGATCTGCAGGCTAAAGTTGCTGAGGTAAGAGTTTGCTAATTGAACGGGTTTTAATTTCTTGGGAATTATCATTTTAATGTTTCCTTTATTTTTTCAAATTATCTTGTAGATGGTCACACAAACGTTTGGAGACATTCTGTTTTGTCCTGATTCGGATTGCTTAAAAGAATTCCCCTCCCCTGAATCATTGAAGAAACGGATTATCATATCAACCAAACCACCAAGAGAGTATATGTCAGCTGCAGTTCCCAAAGACGCCCAGGAAGGTGATTCACAAAACGGGAAAACTGCAAGTGATGAGGAAGCATGGGGGAAAGAAGTGCCGCATCTTAAAGGCCCTGCTTCAGGCAATGACAAGGTAAGTGTGAACCCTACCTAAATATGATTTTAGAGTCACCTGGCGGTGGGTGTTTTATCCCTGCAATTTGACTTTCTTCTTGCAGGAAGAAACTGAGGAAGATGAGGATGATGACGAGGAAGATCCTGACGAAGGAGTGAACAGGTCCCAGAAGTCTCTTGCACCAGAATATAGACGTTTAATTGCTATTCATGCTGGTAAGCCTAAAGGAGGCATGGATGAGTGTCTCAAAGTCGATCCTGAAAAAGTGAGGCGTCTTAGCTTAAGTGAGCAGCAGCTAGAAAAAGTTGCAGAGGATCGGGGTACAGATATTGTCAGGTGTGCAAAATTTCAAAATC